ACTACACAGGGCAACAACCCAGAAGACGGAAATCTTTATACTCTGATGACGGAGGCAGTATGACCTCTGAAACGTTAGTAAACATCGACCAGACTACACAGCGCAACAACCCAGAAGAGAGAAATCTTCAACTACCACCTTTTTCAACATTTAGTAACTTTTATGAGTTTCGCATGATTCTCATTAAAAACAGAGATTATTTCTTTAAACAGCATTAACCAACTGATATTTTTAATAGAGACGAGTTGTGTTTTCTTTAAGACAGGAAACAAAATTTTAATATTTTTTACGAACTTCGATATTCAAAGGGTTACAATCGCGGTGGGGAAACCTGAGGTATGTTCATGCGCAGACATATTACACAATGCACATGAAGATTTGACAAAAAACTGCTTCACCTATTTAAATTTTCATTTAGATCAGACACTTTTAATAACCACTTCACATAAACTCAATTTCATCTTGGACTTCGGTACACATTTACACGTTTTTCTGACTCCATCATATCGCTCGAAGATGTTCAATGGTTTCTTATCTCTGTGCTAATTTAGACACTGAGTTATTTTTAAACGTAAATAACTTGTTTATTCTTCCTGCATTCCCACAGTATGTAAGTGAAATACGTGTCATATTTTATTGTTTGGTTTGATTCATTACTGCCGCATGTGGCTTATTCTCTACAAACAGAACCTGACGATTCAACATCTCTACTTTCGAATCATTCCATTGGATACGATCCTGAGTTACTTTCATCCACCTCCTACCCGTAAAACCTAATTCCGTAAAGTTAATATTTTCCATCCAACTTTTTCATCCACCGTCTTTCAAACGATCGTTTTCCAAGAGGTTTCGCACGAAGTAATCGAATGCAATTTTTGTCTTCCCTACAACCGAAATGTATGCATGTATGTTTGTAGTGTCTGTGTACGGTGAACCGTAAGCTAAAGAAGATTAGGGAGATAATTTATCTCAGCATGGATTGACTGAGGAAAACTAAATATTCAAATATTCAGGACAACCAGTAGGTTACATGTCCGAGATTTAGACCATATAATTCCAAAAACAATCAGGCAGTACTGCTACTCCTACCAACGACGTTCTATTGAAGGTGTTATTAAAGCCCTCGATTGGAGAGACTGGGTAAAATCTCGGAAGAAGATAGAATAGGCAGTCCCCGAACCGCGATTCGAACCGTTGAGTACAAATGAGTTAAAGATGTGCGGTGCTTAGACAGAGTTCCACTCGCTTGTAACAGCTTCACTCTGCGGCCGTCTTCACGAGGTATTTAGTTTATATGATGTTAAAAAGAAAAATCCGAACGCCCTTGTCAGGAACTAAATCCTAGTACACCTCTTTGCTGGCAAATTTTGCACCTTCTTATGCAAAATTGAAATGCCACTAGCTCAGAAGCAGTGAACTTCGAAACCCAGATTCTTTTGACCGAAAGTTCTACTTGCGTTTAACAGATATCGAAAGTCTTTCTATACATAAGATAAAGTTTGAATGTTGCAATGGCTGGCTTTTATGAAGCACGCACGAATTAAAGATTAGTCGAATCTAAACGAGAATATCTATATTCGCCATATCGTAAGGAATTAAGAAAGATGGCAGCGATAAGAGAACAGCAGAACGGCATGGCCTCCTTTCAGTCAGCCAGGGATATAAATGCAAGTATTTAGTCAGTACGTCCGTTTTGTTTCAGAGACCCGGACCTGACTTACAAATTGGTCACCTCAAATCAAACCATCGACTATACAGACGCCTCCTCTGTAGGTCAACAACACAAGACGCTAATCTATGTTTTGGCCAGCGTTTCCGAGGAACATACCGTCTCCATCTTCAGGGCTGATATGAAGGTTTCACATCACAGCAACCTTCATATCAGCCCTGAAGATGGAAAAAGTATATTTCTTTCAAACGTTGACATACTCCTACGAGTCAACACGGAGCCAAAACCTGTAAGACCATCGGCACCCTTACATTTATGAGAACCTAAAAATCTCATAACGAAATGGAATTTACGTGACCCTTCCTCACCTACACGAAACTGGTAAGAAAAGGACGACAGGCCATTTGGAATCATTAGTGGCCAAATTCTCTCTCTCCCTCTCTCTCCCTCGTGGTGAGACAAAGAGACGCCTGATTACGAAATTTGGATTTTGAAACGTTTGAAGAGAACATTTCAACATTCGGTTTATCACAATGATAGCATACAAGAGTTTAAACGACAATCCATCATTGGAGTCTTTTCAGGGGAGTGCCTAAATTCCATATCTGCACATTATAAGATTAAGAATCACTTTACTACCATTTAGTTTCATTTTAATAGTATTGGTACAGTGGGTTCATTCCACGCTTAGCGTATCAATGTTCTCACTACAATCATTAGTTATCATTATCAAATAGGAAATGCTCTGCTCATTCTTCTGTACGTAGAGACCTTGAGCTGGGCTGATGCCTTGTTCAAGACGCCTCACCATATGCTTAAAGAATTCACTGTTTCAAAAGTAATTCTGATTCTGAATAGGCCGACAGCCTAATCTTTTATTCTACAGCCAAAACATTTCACTAAGAAATGCTCAGCCTAATTACCTTACATCTGTTCCGCGCATTTAACTCAGCTACAAAATAAAGATAAATGCAGCAAAAGTTAAAGGATATTTACAAAAGAATACACTTGCAACAACTAATAAAGCAAAGCCCATCTGTTAAAGACTTGATTTCATATATTAATTGCAGCCTTCAGTATAATACTTTTAGAATCACAAATGTTAAAATTAATTTATCTCACTACAATCATTAGTTATCATTATCAAATAGGAAATGCTTCCGTCTTGTTATTTTTTCTGATCATTTGATAGAATTTTCACGTAATCGGAAATGTCGGGTAATATTATTCAAGAAAATGTGAATTTGCAAATGAAAGAGTTTATTTTTTGAAGAAATTAGTTTTGATATTTGCTTCTGAACCTCTGACCATTAAATCACCTTACATGCCTAGTAGCCCGAGAAGAATTCATTACACTTAGTCGCCGTGAACGCTTCAGATCATAAACGTTTCTGAGAATTTCCTTTGGAAATCCCCTCTACTGAAAACCCAAAATACTGGAGCATAGTCGCATGCCACCAGCTGTCTCTGCACAGTGCAAAACTTCATACAAATTCCGCTTGATGCCAGGGGGCATATTTCAGCGTTATGTAATTTTCCAGAAACGGCCATCTGGTCCTGATAAACTGATTACAGTAAAAAGAAGTTCTTAACGACTTCCTAGAAATGTCGCTGAAATCCTGAAAGTGGTGCTATCTGTCTTATCGATCACGTATCACGAGCACTGAGCAGTGCTGCCAACTATTGCTTTGCAGCGCCTTATACGAACAGAAGGTAATTAAGACCAATAGGCTATAGGCCTAATGAGAGCGAACAATCTTCAACGCCCTGGAACCCACAACCATTCAACCTTTAATATAAGACATAGTTTATCAGCAAGTGTTTCTTTTAGCCATGTAGACAAATCTTTATTGAAAAACTGTGCCATTCTGTAAGATCAAAAATGGCTGCCTCATGACAGAAAGCATGCTTTGTTAATGACGTCTATTTATGGCTGTTCCTATTGTTCTGAGCAACTCTTAGGTTAACAAAGAACTTCAGATTAATAACTAAGACTCCGGATCAATGCATACAAATCGCAAAAACGATAATTAATTGATTCTGTTACAAAACATTTTTAGTAATACGTGGGCATGTTCGCAATAAAAGTGGCATTTTTAATACATATTCCTGAGATGATAAAGTTGCGTCATATTGTGATAAATATATATTTGTTTAAATCTTGTCAGTCTAATCACAATAAAATTCCTATTAAATATTAAAATATTACTATAATTAACATTTAAATATTTAAAATATATTAAATGATGTTCTCTATCGAAATGTTCGATTTACATTAGATCATCACTTTTTTACACGACATGTTTCAGTTCTAAAAGAACCATCTTCAGGTGTATAAAATTATATAAACTTAAACTTAAATATAATTTCTTAAATGCAACTTTTAGTCAGATGTTTATCAGATTTCAAATGATGTTTTCTTCCAGATTTTATTGTATTTTTAATATCGTATTCGAAGTTGTTCTGTATATGTATGTCGTGCTTGACATGATTTTGTGTGGGTGAACGTTTTGTTACTGAGCAGTGCTGCCAACTATTGCTTTGCAGCGCCTTATACGAACAGAAGGTAATTAAGACCAATAGGCTATAGGCCTAATGAGAGCGAACAATCTTCAACGCCCTGGAACCCACAACCATTCAACCTTTAATATAAGACATAGTTTATCAGCAAGTGTTTCTTTTAGCCATGTAGACAAATCTTTATTGAAAAACTGTGCCATTCTGTAAGATCAAAAATGGCTGCCTCATGACAGAAAGCATGCTTTGTTAATGACGTCTATTTATGGCTGTTCCTATTGTTCTGAGCAACTCTTAGGTTAACAAAGAACTTCAGATTAATAACTAAGACTCCGGATCAATGCATACAAATCGCAAAAACGATAATTAATTGATTCTGTTACAAAACATTTTTAGTAATACGTGGGCATGTTCGCAATAAAAGTGGCATTTTTAATACATATTCCTGAGATGATAAAGTTGCGTCATATTGTGATAAATATATATTTGTTTAAATCTTGTCAGTCTAATCACAATAAAATTCCTATTAAATATTAAAATATTACTATAATTAACATTTAAATATTTAAAATATATTAAATGATGTTCTCTATCGAAATGTTCGATTTACATTAGAACATCACAGTGATACATTTGTTCAAGTGAATTCACATTTCACAGGTTTTCCCATTATTAATATTATTATTTTCCATATTTATTACTGTGTTCGTGTGTTACAATCCTGAAGAAACTAATTTTTTAAATAAATGTACATACCCTTAAAAAAATGTATGACACACACGCTGACAATAACGATAAACGGATAGTGGTCCTGTAATATGAAAATTGATGTAGCAATTTGCTTTATCTGAAAAAATCGATAGACAGCGTAAGATAAAATCTACTTGCAATCATGGACGTATTATGATAAGCACACATTAACGAACAGGCATGCCCATCACGTGACTTCGTACGGGGGGGTGTCTATATATATTTGCATCGATGTGTCTCCACTTTCAGTATTTTCTTCAACTTTACAATGGCGCGGATACAACTGATTCTCTTGTCCCTGGTAGCAGTTTCCATGAGTGTAAGGGGGCTGAATACGGATCCTCGGCTCATTGAAATCTGCAATGGAGACTGTGCTGAAGATCAATATGGTGAGGTGCAAAGACATTTTTAAAAAAACGTGCTTAGAACTATGAGCAATTGTGTAACTGTTAGCAGAACTGAACTTTTATTTGAATTTGATACACAATTTATATACACTGCTTTAGAACGACATAGCTTCTGTATTAGATGTGTTATCTTTGGAAACAACTGTACGGTGTGTGTTATTTTTATGCATCGGGCCTCGTCGGCAACGAAAAGTCCCGCAATGTCGCCCTAACCGTGAAGAAATTCGGAGGATCAGTGTGTGTGGGGGGTGGGGGGCTACATGTAGTTTTGAGCCTAAGTAAAGTCACACCAAGCTTCATGTCCCCAGTCCTCCGGTCAGTGCTACAAATGTCTGACAAGCTACTCTAGTATTAAGGAAAGCGAAATAAAATCTTCACTGCCAAGTTATTTGACTACGAAATATAAAACTGCAGGATTTGTTCATCCTCAGATGTGAAATTAAGATCATGACTTCTTAATTTTCTTATATAAAAATTATATTTGAACAAATATTCCTTTGTAAAACATAAGATCTATAGCATAATTAACACTCTTCCCCAAGAATCATTCGAGTACATTTTATTAATTATAATTTAAGTGTTTCCTGGAAGATACGAGTTTTACCTAAAGTGTATAGAGTAAACGCATATTGGGAGGTCATTTCTGTCTACACGTCATCTGCGAAATATTCGGCGGAATTTGGTAAATTTGATATTCACGGTCCAACCTAATAGTTGTCGGTTAAGAATATTTTGTTCATATTGGACAAATAAAATCGGCAATTTAAATTAAAGTAAAATCTAACTCATCGATTTTCTCCAAAACGTGAGACCTATTAAACAATTGATTAAAGGAAAATACTTACACTAATATTGATAAAGTTCTGTGAAATATTGAGAAAGGTATTGATTCAATATATATTTAATATGTATTCACGCTCTATATTTGTATTTATTTGTTGTTTATTTAAGGACATTGTAAGTAGCTTAGATTATTTAGCGTCGAATGATAGGATGACAATAATGATCGGATGTGGCACGAAAGGCAGATTTAGAATATTCCAGACATTAAACTTCGGGCACAGAGAAAAACCACGAAAATCTCAGTAAAATGAAACGAATCCCGGAACCTGCCGAATATGAAGCGGGAGTCCTGATCACTAAGTCGCGATGTTGGGCGATGTACATCAGATGAGCGGTGACAGATTACAAATGGCAGATAAATAAAGAAGCTTGTTAAATAAAGCAGTTTAACGTACTTCAGAGATATAATCTATAAAGTATTGAGGTTACATCATTGAAAGACCGCGTTATTTATGTAAATAGCAAATTCATATAATAACTTCCCGGCTACAAGATTGGTGTAAGCAATAAATAAACGCCGAAGTCAATGAGTTTTATAAAACAGCAGAATACGATTTCAATAAAACGTGTACTGCAATTCTGAATACGTATTTCCACTCTTGTTTCATATTTCATGACAGCAAACGTTTCCAAGATGGACGTGTTGTAAAAAACCATGCATACAGTAAAAGACATCATTCTAACGCCAGACACTTCTCTATTAGGCATGGTGCGTTAAAAAAACTTTCACTACTTTTTAAACAACTTACTTTAATTCATTGGTCTTTTCTTTTCAGCGAATGCTGAGTCCTCGGATCAGGTGGAATTTGTGGGAGAAAACGATCTGTACAATTTAGAAGCATTTAATGAAGGTGATAACACAACAGCTAACACAACTGTAAACACATCAGAGGAAAGTGACGGTTCAACTGTCGACTCAAGCGGTACCGAGACGACTACAGATGAAATTACGGCATCCATTACTGCAGAGGATTCTGACAGTCCACCTTCTGTAACGGAAGATCCCGGTACACCGAACACAGAAGAAAATACAGCATCCACTACTGCAGAGGATTCTGACAGTCCACCTTCTGTAACGGAAGATCCCGGTACACCGAACACAGAAGAAAATACAGCATCCACTACTGAAGAGGATTCTGACAGTCCACCTCCTGCAACGGGAGATCCCACTACAACTAACACAGATGAAGACACAGCATCCACTACTGCAGAGGATTCTGACAGTCCACCTCCTGTAACAGAAGATCCCGGTACACCGAACACAGATGAAAATACAGCATCCACTGCTACAGAGGTACCTAGTACGAGTGATCCCGGTTCAGAAACCTCAACTACTGACAGTGGTATCAGATCGACAGTGGCATTTCTCACGTTAGCAGTAACGAGCGGAATAAGACTCTACTTCTGAAAAGCAATGAAGCCACGTGCTTCACGACTGAATTCTCCAGTGCGCTTATGTAAAATCTGTAACAAACCTCACGGGTATTAACAAAAACTCTGGCATTCAAAGCGAGATTTCACACAACATTCCTAGACAGCGCCATAAATTTATAACCTTGCAAAACATTAGTGCATTACATAAGTATAACATATTCAAAAATTTCTTATGTACCGTGATCGTTCACAGGCAACTGTCCAAATTCAACAGTCTGTAAGGAACTTAGGCTACTGGGAGATTCGACTGCAGTTCTCAGCACACAAAAAGCATCTACTAACATTGCACATGAAAACATTATTTTCCTGCCTGCTTTTTGGGAAAGTGTAAACATCAGCTGTTTTATATATGTAAATACTATTATTTAAATAAACATCCATTTTGGTTGAAATTCGATATTTATTTTGTGCTTATTATTAGTTTAGGAAAAAGTATTTGGTTATATTCATTTCGACGTCTAATGAAATTGGAATGTTTATATCTCAAATTACACTTTTCCTTGTACAGAGTTCAAGTATTAAAATTCCTTCATCTCGAGATGATGAATAGAATGCGTCATTCCTTCAGTTTTCAGGTTCCAGTTTTGCCAATTTTCTTTCCAAATATACTTTAACGAATGGGTGAGTGGTTAAATCAATGCTAAACCTTTCAACAATCCTTTGTTCTTCAAAAGAAAGCGACTGATCACAACGCTCAATTACTAATTATTTACTTCAACCATTATACGAGGTGCTACCCAAAAGTTCGGGGAATTAGAATTCCATGCACGAACCTGTTGTGGAATGGCCTGCCGCCGCTATATGGGGGCGAGCAGTACCCTTTGTGAATTATTGTGCCAACAGTCGTGAAGGCGAGAGGCCGCGTTCTTGAGTCTCGTGCGTTTTTGTAACGTTGTGCTGTAGTCGTTCGGGGATTTTTTAAACCTGCATAAATGGCAGATTTTAAGGAGCAGAGAATCTGCATCAAATTTTACTTTAAGCTTCAAAAACTGCTGTAAAAACCTACCGCATGCTTGTGGAAGCATTTGGTGAGAATACTATGAGTCAAAGTAAAACTTTTCGTTGGTACAAGCGCTTTAACGATGGACAAAAGTCTGTCGACGACGATGAGCGTTCAGGAAGACCATCGACAAGCACAACACCCGAAAACATCACGAAAGTGCGAGAGGCTACGGTTGCAGATTGTAAACGAACAATCCATGATGTTTGTGCGATCGTAGGAATATCGTATGGGTCCGTGCAACGCATCTTGTCAGACGATTTGAACATATTGCTGCAAAATTTGTGCCGAGACTGCTGAGCAACGACCAAAAAGAACATCGAGTTCCTGTCTGCACTGAACCCAAAGATGAAGCCAGAGATGACCCCAACTTCATCTCCAAGGTCATAACCGGTGATGAGTCGTGGGTTTACGGTTATGATCCTGAGACTAAGCAGCAGCCGTCGCAGTGGAAGTCGCCAAATTCACCGCAGCCAAAAAAAAAAAGCACGTCAAGTTGGCAGCAATGTGAAGTCCATGTTGATAGTTTTTTTTTGACATCTAAGGTATTGTCTACAAGGAATTTGTCCCCCCTGGTCAAACTGTCAACGGGAAGTTTTACTGTGAAGTTTTGAAGCGGCTATGGGAGAGCATTAGGCGCAAACTTCCGGAAAAGCGGGAGAACAGCTGGGTTCACCACCACGACAACGCGCCCGCCCCACACATCGCTCGTTGTTCGGCAGTTTTTGGCTACCAAAAACACGACAGTGATTCCCCGCCCACCCTATTCGCCTGACCTCGCCCCCTGCGACTTTTTCCTGTTCCCCAAAATGACATTTCGATTGAAAGGTCGTCGTTTTGACACAATTGAGGAGATGCAGGCAGAATCGCAGGAGGTGCATAAAACACTCACACTTGAAGACTTCCAGGGATGCATGGAATCACGGAAAAAACGCTGGGATCGCTGTATCCATGCCCAAGGGGACTATTTGGAAGGAGACGGTGGAAACTAGGAGTTATGATAAGCAATTTTTTTATGGGCAAATTCCCTGAACTTTTGGGTATTTCAGTTAATTTCGCATGATACGTAGCGGGAAGTAATAAAGATGTAAATGAAGTGAACTCACTACAACAAATTTGTTCCACAATACAGGAATTCACTCATTAACCTTAATATTCCCTTTTTCCATGAAATCATAAAAGTTTTTTGAATAAATACGAAAGTGTCAAGCAGCTTATACTTGTTTCATAGTTATTTTAAAGTCTTGCTAGTTTAATACATCATTTATTTAGTATGAGTATCAACGGAGAGTTATGTAAGTTGACTGTGGCCTCCTTGGATAGGTCAAATATATTTTATAATATGTACTTATCCTCCTCCTATCCAATGCGTACCGGGATCCTTCCCCGGGGTTAAAGCGCGGCCGGGCCGTAACACTGACCACTCACCCCCATCTAGTGTCGAGGTTAAGAATGAGTAGGAGCTGCACCACCTCTCCCCCAAGCGCCTACATGGCGTACAGTGGGGCAGTTTTACTTTTTACTCTTACATTTATCCGATTAATAAACAGTATCAGATCGACAGTGGCATTTCTCACGTTAGCAGTAACGAGCGGAATAAGACTCTACTTCTGAAAAGCAATGAAGCCACGTGCTTCACGACTGAATTCTCCAGTGCGCTTATGTAAAATCTGTAACAAACCTCACGGGTATTAACAAAAACTCTGGCATTCAGAACGAAATTTCACGCACCGCGCCATAAACCTAGGACGTTGTTCAACATTAGTATACTAAATAAAACACATTCAGTATTTTCTTGTGTGCATTGATAGTTGACACACACACACCATTATTCTAGTGGTATCGGCCTGAGGGTATGAGGCTAATGAATGTTTCTGCTGCAGTTTATTAGAGTTGAGGCACTTGTGTCCTGTCTCTTACAGGCTGATGAAAGCATTTGGATACTAAATAATAACTGACACTGCATCTGGAAACCCTATATTATAAAATGAACTGTATTATATATATGAAAATGCAAGTATTAATCAAATAAACATTTTTGTTTGAAGAGCAAGGGTTCGTGAAATTTGTCGTGTTCCAATTTCTATGTGCTGTGTCATTCAATTTATGAGTACAGTAGAATTCGGATTTTCATATCCGCACAACACTCACAGGTTGATGATTCTCCTGTTTTGGAATTTCCTTAATCCGATTTCAGCTGGAACGTCAGGAACGGCGCAATGAGCTGTTAGGGCGGACGTGCTGAGATAAAGAATGGTACACAGAGTGTGCCAGTAACGTCATTCAGCACATCTTTTTAGACTCAGCAACAAACTAATCTTGAACTACGAAAACTAATCAATATCTTTAAACTCTACTTAACGACGTGTTTTTAGCAGGACTCATAAGACACTTGTATGTTTAATGTGCCCATTTGTATGTCTATATCAGAAGCATTTATCAACATAAATGCAATCAGGAACAGAGAAACAAAATCAGTATGCGCTCATTTAAAAAATCGTGGCACAGGTCATAATTAATATATAAACGTTTTATAACAAAGTACGAATTTTATCGGGCCTCAAAAATAATTTTTGTTCAGAAACAAAGAATTTCCCTTTGTTTTATAATTGATGCGAATAAATAAATATTTTCAATTTGTTCTTCTTAATTATCCGAAGAAACTTCCTAATTTAAAGTCTACAATTTCTTGAAATTATTTAATGACAACTAATAAGCAGAGATTCTAAGCAAGACAGTTATTTTACAACAAATAAAGATGTTACTGACATATTTCATAGTTTTTATGACAAACTTTGTACATGTCACAACTGTGAATGAATCACTTGTTATAGCAGGAATATGAAAATGGAAATGAATGTAATTTAAGCTACGAAATTGCACAAGTGATAAATAAACGTTACACCCTGTATGTTACATCAATCATTTCAACTTATTTTCCTATTCAGTCTTTCAGTTTGGTTTAGATATATTATGCGTGGTTCGCTGTTGGAATCATTTGACTACTTCGCAGTTTAATGCATACTAAGCAGCTTGTAGAGGACAGACGTTCAATTGTTGTACATTAAGTACTTTTACGTTCTTCATAAAAATACTGCTTAAAATAAACACATAATGAAATCATGTCAGTCAGTTCGATTTTTTGATATCTCAAACATTAAGCGCATGTATTATTAATACTTTGCGAATTTCGATTAATTTTGGCACTGAGGATCGACACAGAAGTTTCTGGGAATATTTAATTTTGGTACTTTTCACTTCATAATAACGACAATATACTTCACACAAACCTAAAATAAAATGTTTTAAAAGCCGCACATAGTGCATAAAACATGAGCGTGGAATAAAACACAATTTATTTAATAAGAACAACTTACAAAACTTCTTTGCAAAAGGAAACTGAGTTAAAAAAATTGTTTTAAGAACACACACAGACGAACACAAAGAGATCTTAGGCATATCGTTCCTTAAATAGGCTAAAATTTGCCTGTTATAATTTTATTAGACTACGTATGAAAATAAACTGAGGGCCCACACGGTGCGTTGGTATTCCTCGTCTGGATTTGTCTTACAATAAACGGCTGTAAAATAATGACATTGCTAAATTATTATAAATATTGTGACTATACATTTCTGTTAACAATTATATTTTTTACTTTTTACTCTTACATTTATCCGATTAATAAACATAATGAAAACATTACTTATAACCACGCCCAGGGAACAAAGTGTTTGAGAAGCAAGTCGATAAAAATTCCTCGTTTTTCACGGAACCCTAATATTACCATCGCGTTTACAATCCCGTCATTCGACTCTATCCTGAGTCAACTGACTTCAGTCCACAACAGCAGACCCTATATTTTAAAAATCTATTTTAATATTATCAGAAACCTGGATATCTCAATCCTTATAATGGCTAAGCTACAACAGGACAAACAGGGTTCGATTGCAAACAGGAGCAGAAAATGTTCTATTCGCCATGGTACCCCCACATGTTCTGGGACCCAACTAGATTTCTAGTCAATGGGTACCGAAGACACTTCCCCAGGGAGTTAAGATGCCGGAGCGTGAATCTCACCACTCACATCCATCTAGCGCTGAGGTCAATTGTATGTGAAGCTGTATCTCCATCACACCCCCATACTTTTTTTCCCCTTTAAATTTACCTCCCATCTATGCTTAGATCTCCCGAGAGGTCTCTTTCCTTTAGTTTTCCAAGTATGATTTTGTTTAGTGAAATGGTTTATTCATACGTGGCGTTATAAGCCAAATGAAATTTGTCTCCTACAATAGAATTTCTTTAAACACAAGTCCTTTGTAGTTTTCGTTTATGCCCGAAAAATTTGACACGATCAGAAAACCCCACTCTTTATAATGTAGCACAAGGCAACCCGCGCTTAAATACTCGTTTGTGTGTTATGTACGTAGTTCATCCAATGTTCGGTCTTGTGCTTTGTGTAATTTTCTGCATTTCTTAAACAAACAAATTCCTTTTATTGATAATGTATTTCTGAGGGCTTGTCTGTCTTTCCAAAAAACTTATCTGCGAGACTGACTTTTTTAACTGGCGGGAAAATGCATGGCCTTCGTCAGCACAAAAAGTTGGGTAGTACAAACCGTTACATTAATTTTAATAATCAAATAATATATACTTTTAAAAAATAAATCAATCTTTTTGGGGGAGGCCTTCCTCTAGATAATATTAAAGAAAAAAAAACTTCTTAACGAAGTGGCACTGGGGCAGGCCATCCTCCGAGTTATTAAATTTTCCCCTACTAATCATCATTTCATCATTGTTCCTTACTCATCCATCACCTCCCCACATAAACTTCTGAAACTGCATTTTTAATACATGATATCATGTTCGATCCACTTTTAATATGCGTCTCAACTGAACACACAAGCAAGGAATACTGATATTTATGAGGGATTTACAATCTGATAATAAGTAAAATTATATATGATTCCGATGTGCCACCCTTCTTATCTCCCATAATCACAATCGAGAGATTATCTCCTTTCGCAGCAATAGGTGGATTATAACTCAACATTGCTTCAATGCCCCGCGAATTATCGGTCACGTGACTTGGTGCTGAAGAACATAAAGATGAGAAACTTTACTCGAATAACCATAGGTGTTAACAGAGTACTCTATATAAGTGTTCCCAACCGTCCTCTCCTCCAGTATATTTTCAGCTTGACAATGGAGCGGATACAACTGATTCTCCTGTCTCTGGTAGCCGTCACCGTCAGTGTGAGGGCGCTGGATACCGTCTCTGGGCCAATCTGCAGTGAATGTGCTGAAGAACAGTATGGTGAGGTGCAAATCTGAGTTTAAAATAAATTAATCATGGTTTTCGTGCTACGATTCCAATTTAGTCTGCAACTAAAACGGCGGTTACTGATTTATTTAAATTACCTTAAATAAGGTAAAAGTTAAAGTATATTCGTTTGTGGCACAACTTAAAATATGGTTGTCCCTGATACAAGAAGATGACATGATCATATGCAGAAAAAATCGACCCCTTTCACAGTCAGTGTGTATTTATCATCGCAATGACTGTTCCTACATAAGCAAATTCTATGCATAGCGGTTTCCCAATTACTGTTGTGTTCGCTACGAACGTGATTTCTCACTTTCAAACACTGGATCTTTAGGCTGCAAGCATTTTTGTGTTCGTTACCAGGTAAATTTACTATTCCTATAATCAAATGATATGTAAACTTAAAAATACCATGCAGACTTATAAATATATAAAGTAATTTTCCAAATTCAGTTTAACTCGGACAATACCAAATCAATTTCTGCTGGCTATGTGCACTGTATTAGCTTAAGCTATCACAAATACAGTATCCCACACGTCATTATAAAACTAAAGAAACTGGGGAAAGAGGAAGGTGTAACATTCAAGTAAAAAGTTTTATAAAACTAAAGTAGAAACAGACACTAGAACACCAGAAAAAAACATTACACGTGTTTACGCTTGTGCCTTATTTAACATATTCATATCAAATAGAAAGAAACCTAGGTTTAATTTCATTATGATTGAAATATTTGTGGGGACACAGAAGGAAGCAATCGAGGGTTTTTTAAAGAAACAATGGCAAAATATAGTAGGTCAAGATTCTGCCGGATCCTTTACAAATATAAATCGTACGTATTAATTCCTATTCAGCCTAGTCCACATTGTTCTCATAATAACTGAGAGGCATTCACATATTTTCAGAATATAATATTTATTAACGCCGATTACATTAGTATTAATGATCAGTGCAAACTCTGAGTTTGTTTGTTGTTTGCTTTATTACAACTTCAGCGGCTAAATTATTCCAATAATCACGATGAATAATTTACTAACGATGCACAATAAAACGTTTGTTTGTTAGGTCTAGTTAAGATTCGTATCGGCTCACTGCATGAAAATATAACGTAATTTACATATTTTTCTCATGATCCGCTCGTAAAAAATCGTTATCCTCATCTTATATATCCTACAACGTATTAAGATCCACAGCTTATATTTTAAACCGCTTTAAATGTGTAAATATTTAACAGAGTACATGGAAACAAAAAGTTTGCAACAGAAGGATTACAGAATTTTGGATGGAAAACCTGAAGACAAGAGACCATTCGCAAGACGTAGATGGGAGCATAATATTAAAATTAATCTTCAGAAAATCGAATGGAAGGATATAGACTGAACTGATCTGGCTCAGCATAGGTACAGTTGGCGAACTATTGTGAGCACGGTAATGAAATGACCAGTTCTATAAAAGCGGTCAATTTCTTAACTAGCTGAGGACTCTGCTACACAGAGTTAGTGATGTGTAAACCTATTTTATGTGGCCATGTTGGCAATTCATATTATCTGGTTTAAAATGTATAGATAGTCATGAAAATTACTAAACCCACGAATAAATAAATGACGAAACATTATATGTCTTATCGTTTCTTCATGTTGCGTGGATACAAATGTCACTCACTGCTCCACGTCCGTAAATACCAGAGAACAGTGTCAAGATTGGTATAGATGCTGTAAGCCATCAGTTTATCCTAATCTAATCTTCTATATATGGAACAATCGGCACAACTATAAATGTAGCTGACAAAATGAAAATTTAATGTTACGCCCATCTTTAGATAAAGTGTCTTTAGAAATGTCATCACAGCGCCTGTACTTCCATATTAACGAACTTTCAGCTAAAGCTTTGCCGAGTGTCTGGCAATATATCTCTCTGCAATCATGTTTATATTATTTCGCTCTATTCCTACTTATCATGGAGTTAACAAATCTACTGAATATGATTCCAAAATGAAAACTACGTGTACGTATACTTGTGCCAAATTCCAACTACATGGGATTAAATGCGTAGGCCTATTTATAAAAATCTCACAATTTCAATCGTTAGCGTAAAGATTTTTCAATTACTCCCTTCTTTCTACTCCTCCATACGCGTCTGAATTCGACTGCAAAGATATGGAAAATATAATGTGTAAGGAATCTATCTGTCTTTCCCGTTGCTTGCGTTATTCCAAAGAATTCATCCAAGTCAAAGATCCTGCGTAACGTTTAGTAACACGATGGTTTAGAAGACCACCTCTTGTAGAATGTCAGTGATTGTTCATTCAATATATTCACAACTAGTCTCTACATCTAATAAATGTCTCCTTTACACGTAATAAGACGCTTCGGTCATAAGCGGCCAACGTAACAGGAAAAACGAATATTTAAAAAATATTGATTCTAACCCAAAAAAAATTCAGGAACGAATTTCACACAATACATAATACGGAATGTAGAATTGTCAAGGAACGTTTCGCCTCTACTAATCCAAATGTGATTATTAAAGGATAAAAACACTCAACAACTACTCACAAAAAAAAGAAGGCGTTTTAATTTTAAATAGTAAAATGCTTAACAGTCGTTGTGGGCAAGTTCTGAACGAACCACATGGGTTTTGCTTCAGAATAAGCCAGACAAAGGAAGTCAGGAGAGATTAAAACTGAATGCGATACATTAATGCCTTGTCTTTACGCATGGTGTTAATTTAATGCATAAAACATGTCACCATAAAGAAGGAGGTTGGACTGAAACAAATAGGGTAAATGTAGACAGATCTAAGTTCATGCCACACGAAGACCAATACTGATTAATAAAGTTCTGTGGAAGATAGAGACAGGTATTATAAATCATTATGTACTTAATATGTCGTGATCATTTACATGTTTTTATAGTTTAACTACGCTATTTATTTCATTGGTCTTTTCTTTTCAGCGAATGCTGAGTCCGCGTACAAGGTGAAATTCGTGAGAGGGACCGAGGACGATAGTGGCGGTTCAACTGTCGACTCAAGCGGTACCGTGACGACTGCAGATGAAATTACGGCATCCATTACTGAAGAGGATTCTGACAGTCCACCTCCTGTAACGGAAGATCCCGGTACACCGAACACAGATGAAGACACAGCATCCACTACTGCAGAGGAACCTGACAATACAGCTACTGTAACGAACACAGATGAAAGTGTAACATCCACTACTACAGGGGAACCTGACAGTACACCTACTGTAACGAACACAGATGAAACTGTAACATCCACTACTACAGGGGAACCTATTACTAATGATCCCAGTTCAGAAACCTCAACTACTGACAGTGGTATCAGATCGACAGTGGCATTTCTCACGCTAGCACTAACGTGCGGAATAAGACTCTACTTCTGAAAAGCAATGAAGCCACGTGCTTCACGACTGAATTCTCCAGTGCGCTTATGTAAAATCTGTAACAAACCTCACGGGTATTAACAAAAACTCTGGCATTCAGAACGAAATTTCACGCACCGCGCCATAAACCTAGGACGTTGTTCAACATTAGTATACTAAATAAAACACATTCAGTATTTTCTTGTGTGCATTGATAGTTGACACACACACACCATTATTCTAGTGGTATCGGCCTGAGGGTATGAGGCTAATGAATGTTTCTGCTGCAGTTTATTAGAGTTGAGGCACTTGTGTCCTGTCTCTTACAGGCTGATGAAAGCATTTGGATACTAAATAATAACTGACACTGCATCTGGAAACCCTATATTATAAAATGAACTGTATTATATATATGAAAATGCAAGTATTAATCAAATAAACATTTTTGTTTGAAGAGCAAGGGTTCGTGAAATTTGTCGTGTTCCAATTTCTATGTGCTGTGTCATTCAATTTATGAGTACAGTAGAATTCGGATTTTCATATCCGCACAACACTCACAGGTTGATGATTCTCCTGTTTTGGAATTTCCTTAATCCGATTTCAGCTGGAACGTCAGGAACGGCGCAATGAGCTGTTAGGGCGGACGTGCTGAGATAAAGAATGGTACACAGAGTGTGCCAGTAACGTCATTCAGCACATCTTTTTAGACTCAGCAACAAACTAATCTTGAACTACGAAAACTAATCAATATCTTTAAACTCTACTTAACGACGTGTTTTTAGCAGGACTCATAAGACACTTGTATGTTTAATGTGCCCATTTGTATGTCTATATCAGAAGCATTTATCAACATAAATGCAATCAGGAACAGAGAAACAAAATCAGTATGCGCTCATTTAAAAAATCGTGGCACAGGTCATAATTAATATATAAACGTTTTATAACAAAGTACGAATTTTATCGGGCCTCAAAAATAATTTTTGTTCAGAAACAAAGAATTTCCCTTTGTTTTATAATTGATGCGAATAAATAAATATTTTCAATTTGTTCTTCTTAATTATCCGAAGAAACTTCCTAATTTAAAGTCTACAATTTCTTGAAATTATTTAATGACAACTAATAAGCAGAGATTCTAAGCAAGACAGTTATTTTACAACAAATAAAGATGTTACTGACATATTTCATAGTTTTTATGACAAACTTTGTACATGTCACAACTGTGAATGAATCACTTGTTATAGCAGGAATATGAAAATGGAAATGAATGTAATTTAAGCTACGAAATTGCACAAGTGATAAATAAACGTTACACCCTGTATGTTACATCAATCATTTCAACTTATTTTCCTATTCAGTCTTTCAGTTTGGTTTAGATATATTATGCGTGGTTCGCTGTTGGAATCATTTGACTACTTCGCAGTTTAATGCATACTAAGCAGCTTGTAGAGGACAGACGTTCAATTGTTGTACATTAAGTACTTTTACGTTCTTCATAAAAATACTGCTTAAAATAAACACATAATGAAATCATGTCAGTCAGTTCGATTTTTTGATATCTCAAACATTAAGCGCATGTATTATTAATACTTTGCGAATTTCGATTAATTTTGGCACTGAGGATCGACACAGAAGTTTCTGGGAATATTTAATTTTGGTACTTTTCACTTCATAATAACGACAATATACTTCACACAAACCTAAAATAAAATGTTTTAAAAGCCGCACATAGTGCATAAAACATGAGCGTGGAATAAAACACAATTTATTTAATAAGAACAACTTACAAAACTTCTTTGCAAAAGGAAACTGAGTTAAAAAAATTGTTTTAAGAACACACACAGACGAACACAAAGAGATCTTAGGCATATCGTTCCTTAAATAGGCTAAAATTTGCCTGTTATAATTTTATTAGACTACGTATGAAAATAAACTGAGGGCCCACACGGTGCGTTGGTATTCCTCGTCTGGATTTGTCTTACAATAAACGGCTGTAAAATAATGACATTGCTAAATTATTATAAATATTGTGACTATACATTTCTGTTAACAATTATATTTTTAGTATTTTTTTCTTCCGAGACCATATATTGCTTTTGCACACTAAAACCTTTTACGATCATTTAGCAATCAGGCCAAAGACAAAGATGGACAACACAGTGCAAAAGCATTTTATATAAAGGGCTACCAACTTCTGGTTTGAACGAAATAAAATGTTTAGTGTTATTTGTGCACAGGGTGTTTAGTTGTTGAGAGGAGACTTTCCTTCGTCAAAATCAAGCATGATTATTTCATTTCTGAAATAGCCGTGTGAGATACATTAATAAGTATTATCTGCCCATAGGGCTCTGTTCTAAGCTAGATTAATCTCCAATCGACGACATCGAACTTTTATCTTTAAAATACATCTTAATATTATCCTCATACCAATGTTTAGGTGACCCCAAGTGGTCTGTAAGCTTTTCTTATCTCTTCCATAACTATCACAAGACCATTACATGGGTAAATTGGCTTCCAAATTCAGACTCTTCTCCCTTCATGTAAAGATGTGTTTGTCTCTTGAATAGAAAGACACAGGATAATTCATGTGCTACAAATTCATACCTAACCCTTCAGCATTGCTTTTGTACATGCCTAAGAAAGGCAAGTAATTTATACTTTGCGAGCTAACAGACATATCTAGTCCATTAGGTGGTGAATAAGTAAATCGTTATTTGACGGTAGATACGGTGTGTCATCAGACACATTGCTACTAAAAGTATCTTAATTATGTTACAATGTTCCATTGTGCCGTTATCTCTTGTATTGTGTTATAAGATCCACGCAGCTGCGCTGTGAAAACGAGGACACTTCGGCGGTTGTAGGGTTCGAAATAAGTTAAGTTAGGTTAGGTTAGGTTAGGTAGGGTTGGGATAGTTTGGGTCAGGTCCTGTCTTTCACCTTCGCTCAAGTTTTTTTTCCGTCATTAAATATTTACAGCTTCCGTCAGGTTCCACGTCTTCCAGGTTTCCAGAGTTTCAGGTTCACGTCTCGGGTTATAGCCTTCCAGCGACCCGTCTTCCCAGCGTACCTTATTTCCAGCTTCTCAAGTTTCTAACGTCTCGTGTCTTTAGCGCCAGCGTTTAGAGTGTCACGTATTTCAAGCGTCTGGTTTGGATCGTACCGCGACGACTTGACCGTCCAGTGTTTCCAGCGTCCTGTATTCCAGAAAATCTTGTTATAAGCATCCTTGTGTTTTCACCTTATTGTGTACTTTTATTTTATCATTCAATCGAATAACTAATATAGAATAACATTTTAAGTCATCACGGGAAACATATGTCCGACAAAATAGCACCGAAAAATATCGGCCGAATGGGAATATTTGTCAAGCTACGTCATGACAATAACAATTTCGCCCAGGTGATGCAGGCAGCAAGCACCTCTGATACGTCGGTAAAATTCTATCAGACTGCCGATGCAACATCCTAGAAGAAAGTCTTCATACTCGGTGCCTTCAGAACCTGAAATCTCACAACATGCCTTTTGGACCTAAGCCCACAGTCATACAGGTAATAATACTGGCTTTGTACCTGTCTTCTGATAAGCGATTTCTAACACAGACAACACTCTGCCTACGTGTAGAAGTTTGAGATTCTGATTTTCTCCCTGTGAGTCATTGTAGTTTAAAACTGGTTGCAATTTCACAATGATTATAAACTGTGAAATCTTGCGAATTCCATAGCAGTTAGTCAACCGCTTATTCCGAATATAACTCACAATTTTCCGAGAAAATAATTAACCAAACACAAATGAATTGTTTATATGTGTTTTACTGCGAAGTATGTAATTCTTCTTTTGTTTCTGTCCAGTACACTGAGTAAGCGTCCTGTAATTGGACGGTATCTCTCTGTTGGAGAGAAATAAGTAAATAAAGTATTTCTACAAGTTTAAATGCAATTCAAATGCTCATAATAAAAGAGCTTCAAGATCCGCCTCAAACAGGGGAAGTTAAAATTTCTTTCTAGTGTTACAGAGGGACACTCTGCATCTTCTTGTCTATCAGTTGATTCCTACGCCGTTCGTTTTCAACAAATCCGTCTTAAAGGCAGTCCAAGGGTAGCCCCGTGGTAGTCTATAAAGCACAGGGGTGCAACCCCGGGCCCATTTGGCTCGACTATAGCTCTGACTATGCTACGTACTACGCAGGAATTCAGATCTTCTTTAGTTAACCTTATTCTGACGATTCTCGTACACACACTGAAACTATGGCGAGTCCCTGGTGACGTAGGAATTCAATAGTTCAAAGTAGTGCATTCAATATTTGAATCATATTTATATTTGACTTTTACACACGTTTCAGAGTTAACCAGAAGTTTTACTGATCTTGGTAACATGAACCTGACTGATGAACGTTCAATGCTTAACAACCGAAAGCAAACAGATATTTAATCTCACTTCAAAATTTCTTCTAGGCTATGTCTTCAGCAAAGTTCATAAACAATCACTGTCTTCTCAGAAGGGTGTTGTAGAGCATTTTTCAAGAACACAGCACTAAAAAGTACACTAACTACATAGAACGGAGACCTTTTGCTCAGCTGGCCAGCGTAAGAAAACCGAAGTTTCGTTAACGTTTGCGAAAGATCCCTCTACTGAACCCTATCTTGAACCTTATGAATACAATTAACGTCCTCAAACCTTACCTCTAAAACATATTTTTAAAAAAGCGTGTCACCCATGCCTTGGCCTTGAAAGTTTATCCCATTTGTTTCCAAACTAAAATTGTGTATGCATTTCTAATCTGTTATATGAATGTTTCAGCCCTACCTATTTCTTCCTCCTTAATTTTATCACCCATACTGTTTAAGAATGCTGTATCAGTTACATAAGTTATTCATCGCCGAGTGCAATGTGAATTTTACGATGGTGAATAACAGGGAACCAATCGAAACCTACTTTGAAGATCAATATCAAGATGAAAATATCTCAGCGGGTGGCACTAAACGTTAATTGGAGTGTTTTGTTTGCGTCAGTGCCCTTGGCCACTGTTTTATCATTTAATGGGGTCAACATTAATCACACTACATACAACAATCACTAAAAGCACTCACCGCAGATGCAGAAAAGATTGTAATTATTTTGTAATTTATTCCCTAAATTTTAACTGCAAACAGAGACCTCCAACCATTCAAGGGATAATACAATTACGGTGCAACAGAACTCGATCACAATGATTTCAACATTTGCACTCAGAACAAACAAAACAGTCAAACAATAAAACTGTCACACGACATTCAAACACGAGATTAGTAATGCAGAGCTATTAAATACAAATGTAACATATCGTAATTTTTTGCGCGATCCCTTCATTCTTGTATTAAAACATTTGTTGAACTAAGTAATCCAACAAATATTCGTAGTTTCGTAGATATATTGCCATACTAATCTTTACAGTCCTACTAAGCAACAGGTTGCCATATTAAATAATTGCTAACCCCAAGAGCAGAGTAATTCTTAAGACAATAATATTCGCTCACGTAAACAACAAATTATTCGCCTTTCATAAACCAAAATATCCACTACCGTATTTACAAGACTTCGCCACTGACACCTATGCAGAAACAGACGAATCCACTGCGCGTCTCGTTTTCTTAACGTCAACTTTATTCTCCAATTTACTCCGTCCTTCTCTTCTCTTTATTTTAATGCTTAAAACCAAAATTTTGTATGCATTTCTCATCTATGCGCAGTGCACTCTTTATCCGCCTCATCATCCATTTTCTGATCATCCTAATAATATTTGGTGAGATCGCAAACCGCATGCTGTTCATAGAAGGTTTCAGAGATACTGATGAGTCAGTTAGGCCCGGTCTGCATTAGAACGCGGTACTGAAACAGGGCGCACGCACGCACACACAGCGACATAGTCGGATCACTCAAAATCGCTCTATCTGTCCACTAACCCACTTCAATGACATGTAAAAATGAAACTGTTCTTGTGCAATTTTTCACGTATAATCCTAATTAAGTATTTCACTATCGACAGAAGAACTTAATTCCTTGAAACATCAAGGTTCTCGGCGCTGGGCAAAGGAATCTCTGATAACATACTTACAAAAGATATCGACTTTATCTAACTTTATATGGGTCGGAACGAAATGAGAACAATTTACACAAAATTTAAGAACGTTTGATTATTAAGTAAATTTGTCACAATTTATCGTTCAAATATAAAGTCCTTGGTGATGTTAAAGTTTTCATGGCGATGAGTATGAAGATGGCTGTCTTCTTGTATGTAGCAACGTGGGGCCTGGTGGGTATTGACGGACGTTTTAGTGGAAGTAAAC